TTTACTTCCATAAATTGCAGGATCCTCTTTACTTTATCTTTGCCAGAAGATTTAAACTTTGAAAGCCTTGCCCTCATAATTTGCATTATCGATTCGTTGTTGCAGCCCTACACATATCATTTATATATTAGCTGCTGTTTCTTTATCACTGATGACAAATCATGCAGATACAAAAATCTCTACATGTCTGAAGTGACCAAGTGCAAATTGCAGTGAGTGAAGATAACTGGCTGTTGAGATTATGAAGCCGTCCTGTCACTCTAGAAAATAAGACTGATCTAAATGAATATTCCCTGAGTGAGTTTAGCTCTTAGGTTTGTTAAAATAAAGCCCACTGTAAGCATTTAATAAAAAAAATTAAAAATACAAATCTCCTTTTAAGACAAACTAAGGTAAAACAATGCTCACATCTTATTTCTGTTCTAAATGTCCTTAACAAATGCTTTTATTTAAGGTTAAATCGGCCCACTGACAGCTCTACAAACAGCATCTACTGTAATGGATTTGTAACTTCAACTCCTTGATAACACTCCTGAACAATCAGATCATAAAGTTATAAAAATGGCTGTTTAGTACAGAAGGAGATGCTGCTAAAAAGCTCCAGGTGAAATATAAAAAAAAAAAAAAAAAGAATCCGTTTTCCATTTAGATTACAAACGTAAAACATACTTTTGTCTTTATCATTTATTTAGAAATTGTTTGCATACATATTTAAATAAATTTAAGGTACTTCCATCTACAGTATGACATTTTGTGTAATATCCATCATTATAACGCTGACCTCGTGTGCTTCTTTAGGGTTAGTCTGTAGTGTGTTTTTGCTTTTGGAGAATTTATACTGTCTCTAATTATCCAGACCTAGTCTAGACACATTAGCCTGTTTTTACTTTTTCTTCGCTTAAATTTTGCTTTATACTGTATGTATAAAGACATGCTCTTTTTCACCTTTTTACTAAAGATGTAAAATGTATACAAGTCACAGTTTGGTACGTATTTACTATTACGGTGAATGTACAATTTTAAAAGATAGGATGTGTTGACTAACAAGATCACTTAAAAATGTAAAACTGTTTCTTTTTACTGCTTTGATCTAAAGCCATCAGTTTAGCTATAAAGCCTAAAACCAAAATCTGCCTTTATTGTTGGCAAAAAGAGCACAATAAAAGATGTTTAAAGGCAGTAGAGAATCGAATAACGTCTGAAAGGATTTAAAATGTTTAACATTTGCTCACTTTGTGTGAAGTATTAAGACAGGCATGCCCAAAAATCGGTCCTGGAGGGTCGCTCTCCTGCTGGTTTTAGAGGGTTCCCTGCTCCAGCACAGCTCATTTCCATGATAGCTGATTAAAAGGCTTTTCCTGAACTGCAGCCAGAATCAGCTGTGTTGAAGAAGGGAAAGTGTGTGGCAGTGCATGTTACCCTTTGTCATATTTTCTCATTCTCGCTCCACTGCTGAACAACAGAAACCTGAAAAAAACAAGCTGGCGGAAATTTTATTATGATTGTTAGTATTACCAGTTATTATATTTACTTATCTAACCCCTTTTTTTCCTCATTTTCTGTTACAACACTAAGTATAAAAAAGACAAAGGGAAATGCAAGGGTAACAAAAGTTTGGGCATTATATATTTATGAAAACGTAATGCTTTCATCAGAGATTTAAAGGGTTAGGTCATTTTGCAGCCCGTCAAGTCGGTGCATATTGTCTTCACAAACACCGGTGACCAACTGCTCCATAAGAGATTACTTAAATACTATGGTTACCTCCAGAGGAGTCTGGAAGTCAGCTAAGGGCTACTCTTTATATAAACAAACTCCCTCTCTCAACTAAGTCGTTTCAGTTTTAGTTTCAGCTGTTTCCACCAGCAGGAGGTCACACTCTGCCTTCCAGCAACATTTTTTACTCTGAATGGAACATTGGATCTGCTAGAAGCAGATTAGGAAAGTCTCAAGTTCACTCAGACACCTTATCCCTCACGGCCCTATCTGCAAGTGCTGATCATGCAGAGGAAGTGAGACAGGCTTCTGAGGGTTCTGAAAGCAGCCGACTGACACAGAGGGGAAGCTCATAAATGTACTTTTATAAAAGCTTCAGGTGTGCTCTGAATACAGAATAAATTGAGAGCACAGCTTCCAGTACCTAAAATCATTTCAAACCCCTCATTCGTCTGTCAAACTCAGCCTTAAAGTGCAGGAACGAAGGTCAAGCACAAAGAGTAATGTCGAGAAAGTTTTAAACGCCACACTTAAGATCATTTTCCTTTTACCTGTTTCAGCTGGATGCTGATCGAGATGAAGAGGAGGTTTTCTGTGACATCAGCATGACTCTGGATAACAAGCTGTTTCCCTCCAAAGAGCCCGCCGCTGGTAAGATCAGCTCATTATTCGTTAACTGTGACATGCAGTAATTGTGAATGACTTATTGGCTCCTCTAAAAAGTTTGTTTTTAAACTAAAAATAGGATGTTGGTGCATATAAAAGTATTAAATAATCATTTCCAGGGTAAAATACAAAGTGCCTGGTAATGCAGCAAGTTTCAGCACTCCTGTAGCGTATTACTAGTTTTTCAAGTTACAGCATAAATAATTGTGGACTTGTATTGTCAGTTGCGCAAGGGTAGAGCTTGCGACATATGCTTTGAGGGCTCAGTTCTTCGAATTCTGTCCTGTGGCCCTTTGCGAAATGTCTTCCCCCTTTTCTCTCTCTACCCCATAACCCTGCAAGCACAGTGTCAAACTAAGGCCACTGGTGCCAAAGAAAAGGTACTTAATGAAGCTGCTTGAACTTGACTGCCCACCCTTGTAAAAAAAAAAACAACCTGAAAATAGACTGAATGTCTAGTGCTACGCTTATGCAGATTTGTGCACAAAAAAATTGAATGTGTGCTACTTATGCTTATTAGATATTAAAGATTCTTTTTTTAGATCATCCAGAGGTCACCATCCGCCCATTAAACTACGATTTGAACCAAAGTGGTCTCCTTTTTTAGTGCTTCATTAGTGCAGATTCGTGCTGTTGCAACCGACATTTGTGCTGCCTTTGTTTTTAAGATATAATTAATAAATATTTCAGTCAATGATGTCACCATCCCTCACTACGCTCTGATTTGAACCAAATTGGTTTTAGAGCTTAGTCCTTAAATAAAAGTTGCACAAACAACTATTTTTTCAGCACAAATCTGCACTAACCATTCAGTCAATTTGCAGAGTTTTTTTTTGTGTGGGTGGGGTGTCAGCTTCATGCAGCTACTTAATGATTATAAATCAGACTCAAAAGGTTTAGGAAATATAAATGAGATATGAGTGCTTCCCCCAGCCCACGTACATTTGGGGCTACAGAAATTGTTGTCAACATTTGAATATTTTTAAAGCTATGGCACTTTAAATATTTCCTAACCTTTTTACTAAATTTTACTAAAATTTCTGAAACAGAAGCCTAACTTATTCCATTAAAACTATCCATATTTATAATATTATTCACTTTCATCATCGTCAAAAGTTAAAAAGATTTGCCTTAACAATGCTTAAAAGGGTTTAAATTACCTGTCACACATGTCTACTACTACTACTACAAACATTACATACCCTGAGGAGGATCTCAGTTCAACCGTAGGCCTTTTACAAAAACCAAAACAAGCTTTTACACAATTAAATATCACGCACATTACATGTCAGTATACATAGATAATACAACCACAGAAGGCCTCACCTTTTATATCAACTTCAAACTTTATGGACATGCACTAAACACTCTGGTCTATTGTTTTAAACAATTTTACAACCAATCTGTGGCCAGTTTGGGTGCTCACAGCCCCTCGAAAAAAAAACAACAGCCCCCTTTTTTTTTTTTTTTTATAATTTTCACACCATTGGGTAATGTGCGTGACGAAACAATTTTTGCTCCTTTACCATCTACATTAAAACAGAACCAGACTGCTTTGAGGTTAGGGTGCTACATTAGAGGCCCCAATGAGATAAAAATAAAAAAAAAATCCATAAATATTGTAAAATGCCAATATCATAGAAAAATTATTTAAAATGTGTAATGTGCTTGATGTTTATTACACAAACAGGTCTAAACAGGCACTGTGCTTATAATAGCCACCCCAAACCAAAGCTCCTCAACACATTTAAATCTTAGAAAATAAAGAAATTTTGTAAAGCATTAAAAACCAAAAAATGGCAAGAATTTGATTAAAACTGCTCGAAATTACTCAGAAAGAGGAGAAAGGTGCCAAAAGGTTGTGTTTGAATGTGGACATTATGGTAGGTAATGCACATAACTAAGTAAAAAACACTTGAATACAATAAAGGGATGTCTGCTTAAACATATATAGACCAATTAGCCTCTGTGGGGCCGATAAAAAACTGATAACTTATAACTCACTTTGGTCACGCACTGGGTCGTATGCCCCAAGTATGACTCTATGGTGCCAAGCCGTAAGGGCCGAGGCCGATGCTCCTACTACCATTACTCAATTTTCACACATTTTCGGGGGAGAAAAGTGCATTTAGACAAGGAAGAGAGCTTTATATTCAACTTTTCATCAGATTTTGATCAATATTACTCACCTTTAGATGAATTTTTGACATAAAAGTTGAGAAAATTGAAGAGTAAACAGGCTCAAACTATGTGCAGGTTCATTTGTGAGTCAGCTCACAGGCTCATGTCTGGTGTTTACTTCCTCCGGTTAACTCTAGGAGCTTTATTAGGAGAAATTTCCCGCCACTATTTTTCGCACGTGACAAGGCATTGAGGCCTGTTTTTCTTTTTTTTTGTTCTGTTCCTTTTCTTTTCTGTTGATATTCATGAAAAAAACTCATTAGAATAGTAAATATATTTATTATTTAAGTGCTACACTGTAAAACGAATTGTGTAATGTGCCTGGCACAATGGATTTTAAAAAATATATTAAGGTCTATGGCAACTAGAGCTTTGCAGTTAGGCCCCACTTTTTTTTCTCAAGTAAGACCCATGGGACCCCCATAGAGGCAGAGGAATTAAATAGTTGAGACAATTATTTAAGAGCACATTCTGGCATCTCAAAAGTTTCGTCACGCACATTACAGTGACTATTTCAATTTATAAAAAGGCATAGCAATTGTTTAAGGTAGCTTATGGTGCTCTACCCCTGCCTATGTTAAAAGTACATGGCTTGAAATACAGGGAATTGTAAAATAAATAATGCTGGGTTTTTTTTTTTGTTTTTTTTTTTTACATTTTAGGGGCTATTTATGGGCTGACATGTGTATATTTGGATTTCTTCAGAAGCCCTGGATGTTTTCTATCAAGATATATGCAATATTTTTTTTCTATGGTCCTCTGAAGTCAAAATAAACCCAAAAATGCCAAATGTACATGAGCTGGCGGAATGACCCATATGTGGCCCACCTGCTTTAGCAATGTGATTGTTGTGTAAAGTTATTCTATGAAGATCTCAGACACAAACATGTGAGTTTAAAGGTGTTTTGAATAAAGGGATGGAGGAGATGGGTTATCTGGGTGGACTTTAGGATGGAGGCTTGCGAGGAGAATAGTTGGTTTGGTGAGCTTGATGCAATATATTGAGATGTGGATAAAGGAACAGAACACAGTGTATAGTTTGGCCAGAGATGCCCCGACAGTCATCCAGACTGGGCTCTGATATGGAAGTAGTGCAATAAATAATGCATTGGTGAGATGTTAGACCACAGCAGAACCCAACAAAAATGTTCAATGAAGCAGAATCTCACAGCTGTCCTTCTGACTGTAGAGTGAATCTTGAGATGAGGCGTTTTCTCCCTCTGTCTGAACTGAACATATAGTCATAGATCTGTTTATCAAGCCTTAGGAGAGGCTAAAATTAATTTTAGATTTTGCAAATGGTCACTTTTACTGAAGATGAGATGGCTGTTGTCATTAATGGAGATATCTGAAAGGTATGGATGAACTGGAGGATTATGGTGGATGAGGATGGGGGAACTTTGTGCACCACATGAAGCATGAAGAAGGCTAGAAGAAATATGGTTTCTAGTTAGGTTCACACAGAAGATAAACAGCTGGTGTAGAATATTGTGATGCAATAACTGAGGAGAGTTGCTCATCAGGGTGGCTGAGCTCTTATTGGCCTGTGGTAACCCAGAGGAAAGGACAAGAATCCACAGCTACAGTTGGAGAATCCGTCATCAGCACAATGTTTAAAGATTAGGGGGAAAAGAAAGCATCTGCCTGCAGAAAATCTAGTTGGCAGTTTTCTTCAAGCCAAAAAAAATATTATGAAAGAAAATTCTTTGATAGAAATAACTGGACATTTAAGTGAACACATCCAGTGTGATGAAACATGGTGGTGGCAACATGATGCTGTGGGCTGCCCTTTTTCTTTGAGAACAGGATAGAAGGAAAGTCGCTCAAAGCTAACCCATGTCTTAGACCAGCTGATTTTCTGCGGTCCATCTAGTCTAAGTTTAAACTATTTTGGAAAGAATAAACAAAGATTCTGCTTAATACATTTCTTAAAAGACTTAAAACAGTTTTAAGTTTAGAAGTTTTGTGAAACCATGTGATTTAAATTAGCAAGGCTAAATATGCTTCTGCCTCTTTTTGGTCTATGACAGTCTCCCATGAAACAGATTGATGTGGATTGTAAGGTGAGGAAATCAATTTTTATTGGTTGAATGTGAACAGATTTATTGTTAAGAGGATTTTCTTAAGAACCAAATAGAGCCTCTGGTTGATATCAGAGGAGATGTTTTATGATCAATAATGATTTTATAAGTCTAAGATGTTTGCACTTGAATCAAAATCCTATTTTTATTTTCAAATCAGATAAAAACTGCTGATCATGGCCACTTTGGATGATTAAAGTAAAGTCTGGCTGCTTGGAGGCCAAATGTAAAGAAACTGAGGAAAATTCTGCCAAGCACTGAATCAAAGCTTCTTCATCTTAATTACCGGAATATGTGGTCTGCAGATTAGCTTCACCTAAAAGGTCCATATTCACCCGGGGAAAGAAAAAAGTCCCATCACTCACAGACATCCTGGATGACACACAACCTGGAGAGGCAGCCAGATTCAGAGAGTTGGTCCCTCTGAGAGAAACAGAGACGCTGTAGGCTGTTATGTAATATCTGACGAGCAGCTGCTCACAGCGCTGTGGTTCACAGTAAACAGGTAATGCTGATTTGAAAGGTGCGATCATTTGGTCGTTCCGAAGGTGTTTCTGTGATTTCACTGTTGGGTTTTATAAGACGGTTATCTAAAAGAAATAAATTTGACCTTTGGCAGTGGAATGAGTTGGCAGAGTTGCATGTGTCAAAAAAGTGTTTTATAACAAAGAGTGGGTGTTACTTGTAAAACTGATCAAACAAGCTTGTTTTAACAGGACACAA